AGCAGCCGGTCCCCTCTGCTCCCACCCAGGGCTGGATGAACCAGCTGCACGTCTACGACCCTGAGCTTTTCCACCCCTCGCTCACGCACTCGGTGCTCGCCACCTTGGATGGGGCCACCCTCAAGCTCTCCTACCCCAAGAGCAACATCCCGCGCCGAGCCACCTTCGAGGAGGAAATCCTCGACGCCACCTTCATCAGCCACCGCTGCTATGACCTGACTGATGCCAAAGTGAGCCTGGCAGTGCCAAGAACCCCCCCTCAGGGATCCCCGACCCCCCCGGCGCGGCCTCACCGCCGCTTTCGGTGTTGCAGGTCTTCCTCTGCCCCACCAGCCTGGCCCGAAAGAGGACATGGAACAAAAAATACCCCATCTGCATCCTCCTCCCCCACCCGGCGGATGTGGAGAGCCGGAGCAGCGAGGAGCACGACACAGAGCTGCAGAGGGATGAAGGGATGAAGGCGGTGCCGGTGCCAGGTCCGGATGTCCCAGGGGACTGCAGGGAGAGGTGCCTGTACCTATTCGGACGGACGGGGAGGGAGAAGGAGGAGTGGTACCAGCACCTCGTGCGAGCCTCCCGCGGGACACCCTGCAGCAGCCACGGAGAAGCCAGGGCAGGTGAGAAGTGGCCATCGTGGCCACGGCTCTGTGCCGGGACCGATCCGGCGTGGGAACCGCACACGAGCCCTTGGCAGGGAGCGTGGGGAGAGGTGGAGGAGCCCAGAGCATTCGCAGCAGCAGGGAAAGCCAGCACAGGGTGGGTGCCATCCGGACCAGCTCATGTCCCCGTGTCCCCAGGTGTGGGAGCGGCTCCGCGGAGCAGCGGCAGCAGCAGCGGAGGGAGCGCTGAGGATATCCCCTCCACCATCCCACCCAAGGACCTGGCGGGAAGTGTCGGAGAGAAGATCTTCCTGGATTACAGCACCTACATGGCCCGATTCGTGCCAGCGCAGGCGAGGGGCAGCCCGGAGCGGAGCCCCTCTCACGGAGCACTGGGCAGCCCCACACCCACAAAGGTGAGCGGGACAAATCCAGCTCTGGGAGTGGGACACAAGCGCTAAGCAGAGGCTGAAGGATGCTGCCTGCAGCCACTTCCAGCCCTGTGGTTCATCTCCTCCCTCTTGGCACCATAGTTTGAGCAGCCAAGGAGCCGGAGGGGACACCTGGCCAGGGGGTCCCACTGCTCACGGGGCCACCTCGCTGCAGGGGCTCGCGGCTTCTGTCCCCCCACAGCTCGATGAGGACGTGGCTGGGCGCAGTGAGATGTGCATGGCCTGGATGAACGCGCTGGTGGGGCGCATCTTCTTGGACTTCCTCCGGGAGCGATACTGGGCCGAGCAAGTGTCCGGCAAGATCCAGAAGAAGTTGAGCAAGATCAAGGTGAGAGGCAGAAGCCCCACACAGCCCCATCCCCGAGGCCCCACAGCGGGTGCCGGGCTGCAGTGACCGTCCCTCTGCGGTTTCCCTCCATCAGCTCCCATATTTCATGAACGAGCTGACGCTGACGGAGCTGGACATGGGCACATCCATCCCCTCGGTCCTCTGCGCCTCCAACCCCACCGTCAATGACCAAGGTAAGAGCCCCGCAGAGCAACAGGGACCCCAGGGCTGGCCCCACGGCAGCTGTTATCGAGGTGCCAGCCCGGTCCCTGAAGCAGGGAGGTTTTGGCAGGCACACGAGCAGCCCTCAGCCCCTGCAGAGCTGACAGGGGCTCACCCCGTCCCTCTCCCCGGCAGGGCTCTGGGTGGACATGGAAGTCACCTACAGCGGCTCGTTGCAGATGACGCTGGAGACAAAGATGACCCTCTGCAAGCTGGGGAAGGAGAGCGCTGCAGAGGAGAGCGGCCTGGCAGAGGCGGGTGGAGAGGGGTAAGGAGATGTGGCTGGGTGTCATCTTCCTCCTCCTCTTGCCCGAGTGAGGCGGGAGGGTGCTGATCCCAGGGCACCCCCGTGATGCTCCTCGGGGCTCACAGGGCCAGGCCGCGGCTGATCCTGCTGGCAGACAGTGATGCGGAGTCATCCAGCGCCGGCTCCTCCGACGAGGAAGACATTGCCACTGCAGAGCCCATGGGAGCGCCGGGGGAGCGGGTCCCACTGCCTGGCGCAGAGGGGTAAGGGGCTGTGGGGGACTGTGCAACCGGGTGTGTGGGGAGATGCTGGCAGGGGCTTGGGGCCATTTTTCCCGGGAAGACACGGCACGGCAGCCCTGCACAGGGGACTCCTGTCCCTGCGGGGTGCTGTGGCAGACGGTGGGGGGATGCTGAAACCCAGCACAGCTCCGGGTCTCACCCCGCTGCTGAGCTGTGGCTCCCCTCGTTTTAGCCACGTCAGCAGCAACAGCACAAGCCGGAAGATCCTGCGGTTTGTGGATAAGATTGCCAAGTCCAAGTACTTCCAGAAGGCCACGGAGAACGAGTTCATCAAAAAGAAGATCGAGGAGGTGTCCAACACACCGCTGCTGCTGACGGTGGAGGTGCAGGAGCTGGCAGGCCCCTTGGCTGTGAACATCCCCCCGCCACCGACGGACCGTGTCTGGTACCAGCTCTCTTCCCTCCCATGCGGGGACACGCGTGCATCCTCCGTCCTGTTCCCTGCAGCTCGGCCAAGGAGCCAGCTCTGGGGCTTGGGGTCCAGCTGGGGTGCCAGCAAGCCAGGATGCTTCTCCCATAGGGACTCCCAGACCTCAGACTCATTTCTCCTGCTCTTCACCCAGGGCAAGGCAGGATCCGGGGGCCCAGAGCTCCCACTGCAACCCAGCCCCCTCCTCCCAGGAAGCCGGTCCCTAAAACCAGCAGCGGGGCCATACTGGCTGTGCCATCTGTTTGGGATGTGATGCTTTCTGCCTCTTTCCTTTCCCCTCACAGGTACAGCTTCCGTGTCCCGCCCCAGCTGGAACTGAAGGTGCGCCCGAAGCTGGGCGAGCGGGAGGTGACGTTCCTCCACGTCACCGAGTGGATTGAGAAGAAGCTGCAGCACGAATTTCAGGTGCCTGGTCTGTTAAGGGGCTCAGCAAACCCCGCTGGAGGGTGGGCATTGCTGCCATCAAGGGTAATCGGTTTGGGCCGGGGTTATCGCTACAAAAAGCCAACAGCCAATCTGGGCCGTCCAGCGTTGGACGGTCAAGAAACAACCTCAGCCACCAGCTCCCAGGGCTGGTGCTCGCAGCACCGGCGTGCTTGAGGAAAAGTGGTTTCCTCCCAGGATGTGCCCCACGCGTGGGGGGTTAGGAGTGTCAGCAAGTCCCAGGCAGACACCCCCCAAAAGGGCTGAATTCACTCTGGTTTGGGGATGTTTGGGAGATTTACCAGCACAAAGTACCCGCTGGTTTGTTTTCAGCCTCTCACCTCTGAGACCTCTGGTTGAAGAGCAGAGATGTCCCCCCCGATGTTTAGGTACCCCCAGAGCACTGCCCATTTGAATGACTTTGAAGTGCTGGTTGCTGCCCTCTGCCATGACCAGACTTTCATGCCTGAAGCCGTACAGGGGGACAGGGCAAAGGAAAACAGCTCCTGCTTGTCCCCATCCTGGGAAACCTGGAGCTGGTGATGCTCTAGGCCCTGCACGGTCAGCTGCGGCTGAGGGGATAGGAGCCCAGGACCTGCTGTTCACAGCCCGGGGCTCTGACCCCCGCTCTCGCGGCTCCTGCCAAGGCCACTTCCAGGCGGACGTGTCACCAGTCAGGCACTGCTGTGCAACACCACTTACTTGTTCTTCCGGATCCCTCTTTTCAGAAAATTTTGGTGATGCCAAACATGGACGATCTCATCATTCCCATCATGCGCTCCGGCCTGGATCCTCAGCCACGCACGGGGTTGCCCAGGGACCCACCAGCCAAGGCCGAGAAGAGGCTCTGAGGTGCAGCCCCATGGCGGAGACGCTGCCCAGGGACCTCGCCGGGACGCGGAGCCAGCCAGGGCCCAGCCATCGGCCGCATCCAGGGCTACGCCCTGGGTCTGAGCTTCTCGGTTCATCTCATCCTCAGCACTTTCGTAGATGAGCCACTTTAAATACTGCTAGCACACATTCAGAGAAGAACCAGGCATGGGGCAAGGGGTTTGCTGGAGACCCAGGGACTTTGTGCACCTCCTACCAGGTTCCCAGGACTCCTGGTCAAGGGAGGAGCTCTGGACCAGCGGAGGGCTGGGCTTTCCACTGCCTGGTTCCCAAAGAGGGTGCGGGACACCCAGACCGGTTCTGGTTATGATCACTGCTGATCCGGGACATCACAGCTCCAAGACACGTCACACTCGACCCGCAGGCAGCTGGACTGCAAGGAAAGCATGGGTGGGAAACGAGTCCAAAATGTGAATAAATCCATCCCTGCCCAGTCTTGCCCAGCAGCCACCTTATTGTACACACGTTCCCACGTCTGCTGCGGATGCTGGCCGGGATTGAGGGGCTTTGTGCAGGGAGAAGCCCGCGGGTTGTACCTTCAGCTCAGCAACAGGAGTGCCTGGGTGTGTGTGTGAGAGGCGGCGAGGGGAGAGCTGCCAGACTGGGCAGAGGCCCAGTATTCCCAGCGGAAACTGGGCCAGAATTGCCGGTACCTGCTCTGCTCTCTTCTGGCAGAGAGGAAGGGGAGCCTGCACTGTGGTTTGGGTGAACCCAGGTAATGGGACAAAAACTCACTGAGTAAGGGAATAGGAGAAGGTAATGGGACAAAAACTCACTGAGTAAGGGAATAGGAGAATCCAGAGGACTTGGATTTGGCTGTCCCGGTTAATCCCTATCCACATGGGCCAGGCCCAAGTGCTACCTGTCCCATCCTCACAGGGCCTCAAGGATGCTCTGCTGCCCACCAGCAGCATGGAATGCAGGCAGGACACCCCTCCAGAAGGAAGACGGCAGCAGGCATGGCTTGAGGCCTTTTATTGAAGGTGCCCAGGTAGGTAGCCTCGCGAATCCCAGTGCTTACAGCTCTTCCTGCACTCCTGGCCTCCCTTTCACCAAGTGTTTCTTCTGAGGGCCCTGGAAGAGACCAGAGTGGAGAAGTCTGTGTTAGTGGTGGACAAACCTGGCCTACAAGGCTGTGTGGGAGCTGCATGGGGCAGAAATGCAGCTCTGGCCCCTTTCCGCTGTGCAAGGCCGCTCCTGGACTCCACTCTCCAGCTGGAGCTCTGTGCTGCCATTCACCAGCCACCCCCTGGGCCTCCTCCCTGCAGGAACAGGGAGCAGAACATCACTGCCCCTTGCACACAGGGTTTGCTTCTCTGGACAGCACAAAAGCAGCCGGGGAGCAGCAATGAGTGACCTGCTCCGGGCCAGGCGGGCTGCCCGGCAGTCGGGGGACGTGGAAGGGAGCAGAGGTGTGTGGATGAAGGCTACCGGGAGCCTGCCGCTGGGGAGCAGCTGCCGAGCTGCTGTACAAGCCCTGGAGGAGGCAAAGCCTCCCATGGCCCAAGGCACAGATTCTCATCAGCCAACTCAGCAGAGCCTGAGGAGTTTCCACCAGCTAAGAAATGGGTTTGTCCCAGACCAAGTAAGTCCCATGGAAGCAGGTTGCAAGAATTGCTTATGTGCCTCTACTCCTCGCCAAATGGGAAGTTTTACCACAGCATACGTGGGGGAAACTCTCACCCCACAGTACAAACTGGCAAAGAAAACATCTGCAACCGGGTAGAACCACCTCCTGTCACTAAGATCCACGTCACAGCTGCTCAGGACCTGCAGCAACAGCAAAAGCAGAACAGAACAAGCTCCTAACCCTGAGATAAAGGCCAACAGCTTAACCCCTGAAGAGCTCTGCAAAGGCACTGCACAGCCAATCCCCCTTGCCAGGGCTAAGGAGGCTTAGCCAGTTTCACATGGGATTTCTAGCTGACAGGCCGGATCCAGACACGGTTTACGCCTGCGTGGTAGCCAGGCAGTTGACCCCTGGGTTCTGCTAGCTGAAGGCCTGGCTTGCTAAAGGCTTCCTCAGCTTCACATTCAGAGCTATGCACCAGCCTGGTGTAGGCTGCAAAACTGTTCAAAAAACTCTGCTCGGTTTGGATTTCTTTACATTATTCTTCCCCTGGATTTAAGAAAAACACACTGCTCGGCCTTTCAGAAAGCTTCCTGTCGAAAGAATCGCAAATTTGTGCCTGAATTTGACCCAACCTTTTCCTCTCAAGAACATTAAAGTTATAAATCATTCCAAAGAAATCAAAGAAGTGCACGATGATGGGTGAAAGGGACCATATGTCCGAGGCGGTTCCTGCCAAGTTAACTGCTTGTTTGAAACATCCCGTGGTGAACGGGAACTGGTTGGCCAGATGGTGTATTATTTGGTGGTTGGGTTGTCTTGGATCGCTCACACGACCACCGTGTTCTTCCTTAGCCTGATATCTGCTGTGTAAATTGAATCCATGCCCGTCTTTGATGCGAGACGGTCCCGACCACTCCGGCTGTTGTGATACCGAGAAGCAGATGCTCAGGCGGTTGCTTTAGCCCCAGCTGCACGCATGGCCCTGGAGCCGGAGCCGGCAGGGAGCGTAACTCACCATGAAAGCCCGCTTCTCCTGAGCCGTCTGGAAGCAGCCGTGGCCAAACTTGGAAGTGGTGTCGATGAATTTGAGTTCAATGGCTTCCTGAGCCCGGCGGCTTGTGTGCACCAGCAGGGACTGGAAAAAAGGAGTCGCAATGCATCAGGGTTTATCCGTACAGAAAATCTGGGCATGTGCTCTGATGGAAGCAGGGCTGAAATATCCTAGGTGCATGCCTCAGTATCTCCGTGAGAATATGCCTTCTCAGAGCAAGCCTGCCGCTCGGGAGATGGTGCTCTCCATCACGTGCCGCCTCGGATGGCGGAGCAGCTCTGCAACGAGCCTGCTCCTCACTTAGCAGCTCGTTTCCTCACAACCTGCTCACGGACAAGGTTTTCCATCACAGCCACACAGGCTCGCAGCTTCTCTCTCCAGTGAGAGAGCGTCCGACTGCGCACTGCCACAGTCTGACTGCGAACGGTCTGGCTGCGCACCTTGCTCATGCGCCACGTGCCCTCTGCAACGCGGCGTCAAGGACCCGATGCCCAACGTTTGGCGGCAGCGGTGCTCTCCACGGGGTGAATCTGTTTGTGGGGAGCTACAGCCCATCCCTCCCCAGCGCCGGCTGCACTCTCACCTTACGGAGGGTCAGCACACGCTTCTTCGTGCCCATGACGCAGCCTTTCAGCATGAGGAAGTCGTTGTTGACCTCTCCGTAGTGAGGAAAACCACCCTGTGGGAGAGGCAGAGAGAGGGTTGGCGGGCAGGAGGGCTGGATGGGAGCAGGCATGTCCTCAGGGAACATTTCTAGGGAAGGAGAAGGTAGTGACTGACAGTCCTTCCAGCTAAAAACATTCTGCACCCTGGAGGTAGCCTGCTCAGGAGCACCAGAGATGTCTGACTGCATGATCCCAGCTAAGGAGCGCCCTCTGAGAGCTGGGGAACCGGCATCCCTGCTTCTTTCCCTGGGAGGTGGGAACAGGGTGGGAGAGCAGAGAGCAAGCTGGCCTGACTCCTGAGTTATTAACGGTTTTTAATAAGCAAAAGGGAATTTTTAAACCAAATAACAAACATTTCTCTGTTAAGTATCAGCTTTTTAATGCCATTTATACTTTTTTCTTTTTAAACAAAGTTCTCCGTTCCTGCCCAAGTTATCAGCTGAAAGTTACACGTTTGGGTCCACCAACGGGCCTCAAAAAACACCTCACAGAGATGGTTTTCCATGTGCAAAACACGAGGAAAGGAACCACTGCATTACTTTCAGTGAATTTCCATCAAATCATTTCCTATGCAGCTGTCTCCAGCCAAGGAATTACTTCCCTGGCTTGGATTCCGGTAGCCAGGGCCAGTCACAGCCACGTTACCCCCTCAGACCTTACCAGAGGCGTGATGGTCTTCTCCGTGACATCGTAGTGCGTCGAGGCATTGTTCTTCACCACTTTGCCATCTTCCACATGGATCCCGCGCCCAATGCGGTAAATCTAGGAACAGAAAGGGAACGGAGATGGTGACTTTCCTGCTCCCTCACTGAGGGATGTCACAGGGATGTGTCCCTCGACCAGGGAACAAGCACCAGGAAAGACATGGAGAACATGGTCCCTAGGGAAGAAAACAAGAAGCTGGGGGGAACAGAGGCTGCGGCGCAGCAGATGGTGAGAGCACGGGAGGAAGGCAGGCAGGAAGGCCCGGTGGTGCTCCGAGGGAGCCCGCTGGGCCATACCTTCTTAGCTCCGAGGGAGCCCGCCGGGCCATACCTTCTTGTTGAGCTCCGTGCGGTGGTGGTAGCCCTTCTGGCCAGCCCGAGCAATGGAGTAGCCAACACGGGCCGGGTGCCAGGCTCCGATGCAGGCAACTTTGCGCAAGCCCTTGTGCGTCTTCCTGGGGAGCTTCTTGGTGTGCCAACGGCTCGTCACCCCTGGAAAAGTGACCGGACAGGGTGGTGAGAACAGCGGGGAGATCCAGGGCTGGTGTCTCAGCGCTGGGGAAGGGAAAGTCTCATCGTTCTCCTGCAGTTGTTGGAAGACGCGGTGTTGGAAGGAGACCAGGAGCTGTCACCACTGTGAGAGGACAGAGCACAGCGCTGTTCTCACTTCCCATGGATTCGATCAGACTGTGAGATGTTCCCACTGAGCACATCCACGCAGAGAACCTCCCACACCTCTGCACACGTGGGGTTTGGGAGAAGTGCAACGGCTTTACGTGCTCCCAGGGCCTCTGAGCCTCCCGGGAGGACTCTGGGCACAGTGGAAAACACAGCCTTTACTGAGACTGGGGAAAACAAGTTCTGCTGCCACGGAACCGCATGTCATGGATGAGATCCAAAGGCTCTTTGCCACTCCCTGGGTGCAATAAGTAGGTGGGTTCTCAGCATGGCTAGCACTCCCCTCCCCCAGCACCACCTCACGGGCAGCATCATATGAGAAGGACAGAACCAGACCCCTGGTAAGAGTCTTCCTGCTCCGTACCTTTCATCCCATGCCCCTTGGTCACGCCAATGACATCGATCATCTCGTTCTGGCTGAAGACACTGTGCACAGAGAC